AAGAAGGGTATATTATGAGGATATGTAGGATAAATAAAGGTTAACCCTAGACTTGAAGAGGAATGCCAATAGATGCCTCCTTGAGAACAATTGCTCTTCATGATAGGTGAAATTTCAGGGTCTGTCCTCCATTGAGCAGTTAGAGATAGATCAAAGGAGAGATCAGCTGTCAGGGTCCTGTCAACAAGATTATTCAAGGTACACACATAAACCATCTGCATATATATTTACTAATGATCGAAAGAAGTCCTTAGGCAGATTGTTAATATAAAACTAAAGTGGGTAGAACCAAGAAGAAAGCTTTGGTGTATGCCTGCATCTTGGAAATTTTTTAAGTGATGATAGAAATCTGAAGGTGCATTTAAACAGAAAAAGTTGCCTCTGAAAAACTAAAAGTATTAAGAAACAAGAAAATTTTATTAGAAAAAAAAAGAAATGAGAGATGAACAAGTATATAATATAAACCTTCCTATATAGCAGGGAAAGCTAGACATTTTCCTCAAAGATGAAGAGGAAACTTGATACAGCAGAAATCTGTAGTTTTCAATGCAAAATAGGGGATGAAAAGAAACATTTATATGTAGTATCAGAAATAGTTGGAAATTCTAACACACAATGTGGAGAGAGGGCTTGGAGAATTTGTTCTTCACAGGACATATTGAAGATAAGTAGGGTTGAGGGAAGCAATGAGTAACCTACCAAATAAGTTTGTGTAAATAGATGGCAGAACAGGGAGTGAAATGAGATCAAATCTACAAAAATTATTAATAATAATAGCAGTACATCATCTCAGAAATTTAGATAAATACTATTATACAACTGCTACTAGTTGGGAAGCAAGAAAAATTATGAATGAAAGAAAAAATAGTCAGAAATTAATGATGACATCATTGCATCATCTCAGGAATTCAGACAACCTAATGCTATTACGTTAACTACTATGAGTTGTAAAGTAACAGCTATAAGATAAAAGCTACATGAAAAATAATAATGTCTGTACGTCATCTCAGAAATTTAGATAAATACTATCATATCAACTATTACTAGGTGTAAAGCAACAAAAATAGGATGAAAAGATAAACTAGACAAAAATTAATAATGACTGCTTAACCTAAAGAATATAGATCACTTGAAATTATTACAAGCACTGCTTATTCATCATCAATTATCACAGCATGCAAGGCATTTTGTTAAGATGCAGAATTTCCAATATCTGGGAAGCAAAGGATGGAAAATGTAACAATGAGATTCAAACATGCAAGAGACTAGCAAAAAAAGCATTCCAAAAGTTAGTTTAGGTGCTGAGAAATGGAAGAATTTCATTAGAGACAAAGAAGAGTGCTGGATTGCTATCCTCTTGTATGACAGTCTACATTGGACAATTTCCTCCCAGATGAGAGAAAAAAAACTAGAGGCAGGAGAAATGTGGTTCTACAGAAGGATACTGAAATTCCATTGACAGAGTGAATAAGCAACAAGGAAGTCTTAAAGAAAATAGCAACAGAAAGCACAAAATCAGGAAAAGATATCAGCAATACCTTGGACACATAATGAGGAAGAAGGGCTTCAAAAACTCAATTTTCTTGGGGTATATTGAGGGCAAGAGAGATAGGGGAAGGCCTGGCGAGCCCTGTGTGAATGAGTGGCAGAATTGGAGGTGGGGGTACCTTAGCAAAAGAAAAAACTACTAAGAGCTACATAAGATAGAACATTGTGGAGAGCCATGATCGCCAATATCCTGAAGGAAAAGAACACCTGACAGTAAATATGCAAGGGGATTCACTCATATCATAGAAGCAGAAATTAGCCTTGTATTCACAGAGATAAAGCATACTTAACAGGAAATAAAACATACAGAAATAACAAGAAGGAATGGTAAATTGTATGTTAATTTCATACAATTTATTTATTTTTTTGTGTATATTGGTGTGTATTTTTTAAGTTACAATTGTTTAATGACACATGTGATAAAAGTCACTCCATATTATTACAAGCCATGTCCCATAGAGAGAAGTTACACATTGCCTCTCTGAGGGTTCTTAACAAATAGATTGAATGTAACGTCTTTTGGCGGGATGTCTATATTTTCGGCAGGAACAGATTTTTGTTGCATGCTGGGAGTATTTTTTTTTATTATTCTTATTTTTTATTTAATTTTTTTTTATACAACATTTCAATGTTATTTTTTTTATTTTTATTTATAATTCTCATTATTATTATTATTTTATAATTTATTTATAATAATAATATTCCTACCTAAACCAATGCACTACCAGTTCAATGATTCCTTTTTCTTTTCAGTGACAATTATGTCCTGCCACACTTACTAAAATGTAAATACCAGGAAATAAAATAATGAATATCTACTCACCAAGAGATTGAAAGTTTTATTAAAGAAAATGTACATTTGACAGGAATTTTACATGTATTCCCTTTTTAATCTGAGAAACCAGCTTCAAGCCAGATATGTTTTATCACTAAGCTACAGGTCATTAAAACAAAGCATATACACACACACATACACACACACATATATATATATATTACTTCAAGCATTATTATAGTAGATACCCATATTTGGAATAGACATTGTCATTTTTATTTTTACTTTAAATAGTGAGTATTACATCTATCAGTCTGTTTTTTTTTTTTTTTTGTGAATTGTTAATAAAGAAAATGTGCTCCACATGCATTCTCCTTTGTTGGAAAAACAGCCGTTTGATCTAGTATGCTTGACCACTTTGCTACAAAGGCCATCACAAATCAGCAAGGCTCTATTTTTCCTTTCAAAGAAATCACACTTCCTCATTCAGATATTTTTCTTGAAGCACCATGTCTACTCAGTTTCATATAAAAAACATGTAAAAAAAGAAATTTCTAAAGAAATTATGGATTTATTTTTAATCCAACATTTTTATTACTTCAAATGTTATTATAGTGGATATTTGAAAGAGACACCCCATTTTTATATATATATATATATACACATATATATGTGTGAGTGTGTACTGGAATTTGTTCAGCTTGTCTCAGAAGGCATTCTAAAACAATTTTGATATTTGGTCACTTAGATTTTGGGAAGTGGGTCTAATCAAGAATATTTTTAGTACCCCATTATTGAAGCATGTTTCATCATTGTATAATATAGACATATTCTGTCGGTTTATTTTTATAATAATCCTTTCTAGTTCTAAAATGGCATTAAATGTTTAAATGTCCTTTGTATCTCTGACAAAAAAGTAAATACATATGTTTACTTGAGGACAACATTATCAAGATGTCTTAAAGTCCATTTATCTGATACAAGTTCTATTGCACAACATTTAAAGACACATTCGTGTCCACATTTACAATACAGGAAAATACTTGTTGACAACACCAATAAATTACACCATGAAAAATTATGAACAAAGATTTAAAATTCTCAAGGCCCTTTTATATCAAACGCAACTAATCAACACTGAACAGAATTTATTATGAGTGTAGTAGCAATGTTTTAAAATGTATTTGACCAACATTTAATGTCATTTGCATTTTTTAACATCTCTGGTTTTCTCCCTTATATTGTGGATGCTTGTTTACAAAAAACAATGGTTAATTTTTAAATAATTATAACAGGGCATGTTTACAAATATCACCATCACAACGATCACAGTTACATTAAGCTTGTCTTCACAATTCATCCCTGAGGATGATCTTGGAGGTGATTGAAAGTATTTGGGATAGCAAAACCTAGAATTGCCTTCCTTGATAAATTTCACCTTAATATCAAGAAGCTAATTAGTGAAATAATTTTAATTTAATCTACTTACGTACAATAAAGGATCAGATGCAATATAAGTGAACAATACAACTAGAAAAATTGAAAATAAATACAATATATCTAAATAAACATTAGAGACACATTCCGTCTGAAATAAATCAACAATGTTTTTCAGCAATTTGTCACAACAATTTTAGATTTTTCTTGTCAAAAATTGAAGAATTTGAATGCACTCAACATCATAGATAAAAAATACTGAAATTTGTCAAATTTATTTTCTTAACATTCAGCAGATTAATCTACACATATGGAGCCACCCATGCAGCAAAAATAATCCTTAGACTAGATCCTGTATTAATAATTTCCTTTATTGATATTGAAACTAGCAGAACTATCTGCTAACAGCTTTTGATAAATGAAAACAAAGGTGAATCTATTTATGAACTGGGAATATAAAAATATTGATGAAAATGATTAGAGATTTACCTTCCTCCTTGGTTGACAATGCTTCAAGGTGTTGCTGTATATCTTGCCACCATTTAGAGGCCATATTTTGCTAACAGCAACTAGCAAGGTCATAATAGCTGAATGAATGTTAAGGCATGACTCTTGCTGAGAAGTGACAGTGACAAGGTTTCAGAAGATTAAAAAGGAACCATTGCATTCTGGGTATCAACGCAGCAGGACAATCAACAGCCTTGATCTCATTTGTGTCCCGGATCTGATCACTGGTCGATTCACATTGCATCATGTGCTTTTATAATCTCTACGTTATTGTAGATGCATCTGGCAGATGCATCTTCTCTCCTCATCTCCTGATGAACATACTGAGCAATGAAATGAAAGAGAGATGAAAGAGAGAGCAAAAGAAAAATAAGCTTAATATTAAACTGATCCTAGGTGAGGGCATGCTTCCTTGCAACAGATGGATTTTGCTGTAAGATTGAGATGGAGACAGAGATAAGATTGAGTTAGCCAAGCAGAGAACATGCCTGCATCAATCCCAGCAATCTTAAGATCAGCTACCCGATGACAGCGAGGTCATAATTTCCCTTTTAATCACTCTTTTCTCTCTCTCTCTCGATTTCTCTAAATCTATCTATCGTTGCATCCATCCATCTCCCTCTGCTCATGTCTATCATTCTATTGATATCTATTTACAGATTTATTCACTTATCTCATTCTGTTCATGTATGTCTATCTCATTCTGTTCATGTATGTCTATCTCATTCTGTTCATGTATGTCTGTCTCTCTCTCTCATTCTGTTCATGTATGTCTGTCTCTCTCTCTCATTCTGTTCATGTATGTCTGTCTCTCTCTCTCATTCTGTTCATGTATGTCTGTCTCTCTCTCTCTCTGTCATTCTGTTCATGTATGTCTGTCTCTCTCTCTGTCATTCTGTTCATGTATGTCTGTCTCTCTCTCTCTCTGTCATTCTGTTCATGTATGTCTGTCTCTCTCTCTCTGTCATTCTGTTCATGTATGTCTGTCTCTCTCTCTCTCATTCTGTTCATGTATGTCTGTCTCTCTCTCTCTCTCAATCTGTTCATGTATGTCTGTCTCTCTCTCTCTCTCTTCATTCTGTTCATGTATCTCTCTCATTCTGTTCATGTATGTCTGTCTCTCTCTCTCTCTCTCATTCTGTTCATGTATGTCTGTCTCTCTCTCTCTCTCTCATTCTGTTCATGTATGTCTGTCTCTCTCTCTCTCTCTCATTCTGTTCTTGTCTATCTCTCTCTCTCTCATTCTGTTCTTGTATGTCTGTCTCTCTCTCTCTCTCTCTCTCATTCTGTTCATGTATGTCTGTCTCTCTCTCTCTCTCTCTCATTCTGTTCATGTATGTCTGTCTCTCTCTCTTCATTCTGTTCATGTATGTCTGTCTCTCTCTCTCATTCTGTTCATGTATGTCTGTCTCTCTCTCATTCTGTTCATGTATGTCTGTCTCTCTCTCTCATTCTGTTCATGTATGTCTGTCTCTCTCTCATTCTGTTCATGTATGTCTGTCTCTCTCTCTCTCATTCTGTTCATATCTGTCTCTCTCTCTCATTCTGTTCATGTATGTCTGTCTCTCTCTCTCATTCTGTTCATGTATGTCTGTCTCTCTCTCTCATTCTGTTCATGTATGTCTGTCTGTCTCTCTCTCTCTCTCTCATTCTGTTCATGTATGTCTGTCTGTCTCTCTCTCTCTCTCATTCTGTTCATCTCTCTCTCATTCTGTTCATGTATGTCTCTCTCTCTCTCTCTCTCATTCTGTTCATTCTGTTCATGTATGTCTGTCTCTCTCTCTCTCTCATTCTGTTCATGTATGTCTGTCTCTCTCTCTCATTCTGTTCATGTATGTCTCTCTCTCTCTCTCTCATTCTGTTCATGTATGTCTGTCTCTCTCTCTCTCTCTCTCATTCTGTTCATGTATCTGTCTCTCTCTCTCTCTCTCATTCTGTTCATGTATGTCTGTCTCTCTCTCTCATTCTGTTATGTCTGTCTCTCTCTCTCTCTCTCATTCTGTTCATGTATGTCTGTCTCTCTCTCTCTCTCATTCTGTTCATGTATGTCTGTCTCTCTCTCTCTCTCTCATTCTGTTCATGTATGTCTGTCTCTCTCTCTCTCTCATTCTGTTCATGTATGTCTCTCTCTCTCTCTCTTCTGTTCATGTATGTCTGTCTCTCTCATTCTGTTCTCTCTCTCTCATTCTGTTCCTGTCTGTCTGTCTCTCTCATTCTGTTCATGTATGTCTGTCTCTCTCATTCTGTTCCTGTCTGTCTGTCTCTCTCATTCTGTTCCTGTCTGTCTGTCTCTCTCATTCTGTTCCTGTCTGTCTGTCTCTCTCATTCTGTTCCTGTCTGTCTGTCTCTCTCTCTCTCCTTCTATTCCTGTCTGTCTGTCTCTCTCTCTCTCCTTCTATTCCTGTCTGTCTGTCTCTCCTCCTTCTATTCCTGTCTGTCTGTCTCTCTCTCTCTCTCCTTCATTCCTGTCTGTCTGTCTCTCTCTCTCTCCTTCTATTCCTGTCTGTCTATCTCTCTCTCTCTCTCCTTCTGTTCCTGTCTGTCTGTCTGTCTCTCTCTCTCTCCTTCTGTTTCCTGTCTGTCTGTCTCTCTCTCTCTCCTTCTGTTCCTGTCTGTCTGTCTCATTCTGTTCATGTCTATGTCTGTTTCTCTGTCTGTCTCTTCTGTTCATGTATGTCTCTCTTCTCTCTCTCTCCTTCTGTTCCTGTCTGTCTGTCTCTCTCTCTCTCTCTCCTTCTGTTCCTGTCTGTCTGTCTCTCTCTCTCTCTCTCCTTCTGTTCCTGTCTGTCTGTCTCATTCTGTTCATGTATGTCTATCTCTCTCTCTCTCTCTCTCTCCTTCTGTTTCCTGTCTGTCTCTCATTCTCTCTCTCTCTCTCTCCTTCTGTTCCTGTCTGTCTGTCTCATTCTGTTCATGTATCTCTCTCTCTCTCTCTCTCTCTCTCCTTCTGTTCTGTCTGTCTGTCTCATTCTGTTCATTTCTCTCTCTCTCTCCTTCTGTTCCTGTCTGTCTGTTTCATTCTGTTCATGTATGTCTATCTCTCTCTCTCTCTCTCTCTCTCTCCTTCTGTTCCTGTCTGTCTGTCTCATTCTGTTCATGTATGTCTATCTCTCTCTCTCTCTCTCTCTCTCCTTCTGTTCCTGTCTGTCTGTCTCATTCTGTTCATGTATTCATCTCTCTCTCTCTCTCTCTCTCCTTCTGTTCCTGTCTGTCTGTCTCATTCTGTTCATGTATGTCTCTCTCTCTCTCTCTCTCTCTCCTTCTGTTCCTGTCTGTCTGTCTCATTCTGTTCATGTATGTCTATCTCTCTCTCTCTCTCCTTCTGTTCCTGTCTGTCTGTCTCATTCTGTTCTCATTCTCCTTCTGTTCCTTCTGTCTGTCTCATTCTAATCTCTCTCTCTCTCTCCTTCTGTTCCTGTCTGTCTGTCTCATTCTGTTCTCTTTCCTTCTGTTTCCTGTCTGTCTGTCTCATTCTGTTCTATGTCTCTCATCATTCTGTTATATCTCTCTCTCTCTCTCTCTGTCTGTCTTCTGTTCCTGTCTGTCTGTCTCATTCTGTTCATGTATGTCTATCTCTCTCTCTCTCTCCTTCTGTTCCTGTCTGTCTGTCTCATTCTGTTCATGTATGTCTATCTCTCTCTCTCTCTCTCCTTCTGTTCCTGTCTGTCTGTCTCATTCTTATCAATCTATCCATTTCATTCTTGTTCGTATCTATATATTCATTTGACTTTGTTCGTATCTATCAAATTCTTTGCACATCTATATAGCTAGCTATCTCATTCTGTTCATACATATCTAATTCTCTTTATTTCTATGTCTCTCATTCTGTTTATATCTATCTAGCTATCACTTTATCTTTCTCATTCTATTCATATCTATCTGATTCTGTTAATATATATCTGTCTGTCTCATATTTATCTAACTCTCCATCCCATTCAGTTCATATATATCTATTACATTCTGTTAATATCTATCTTGCCATATTCTGTTAATATCTATCTATCTATATATATATATAAATTTTTGGTGAGTAACCCGGCAGAGGGTGCAATTTCTTTATTATTGAGTATGCAGAGAAGATGTAATACACTCTGTTTAAAATCATTTTTTCCTATCAAAATATATTCCAGCAAATTTTTACTGTAAGAGTGTATTTTTTTTTTTTACTTTCATAGTTTTGACCCCAAAATCTAAATATTTTGAACGCAATTGTATGCATTCATTCACAGATAAAATGTTTTGTTGGGCATTTTGCTATAAAATGTTTTGCTAGTAATTCTACTATAAATAGGTATTGTTGTTAGTTTGTTGTTTTTTTTTTTTATTTAAAAAATGTATTGCTGGTATTTTTACAATAAAATGTATTTTTATAGTTTCATAGTTTTTTGACCCCAGTTTGGGGGTTTACTATTTGCCCATAGCTGGGACCCTAACAGGTACTACCACCCTGGATCAGGGTGGACCAGGGAACAGCAGCAGTTAAGAGGTGGTTCCACATTCCTCAAAACTTCTCAATCAAAGGCGTTTCTGCCAGACGTAGTTTATCATCATACCAAGGATACGTTTTCAGTTGGAATCTATAAAATCTTTTTATTAAAATAATTTTTCAGTTAAATATGTTTTTCCACTAAATGTTATGGCTATTTCAGAACATTTTGTAAAAATATAGAATGGCAGAAGGAACAGACTCAACAAGTCTAACAAAAGGCAACACTAAATTCAAAATACCTGCCAAAATATCATCGGCAAGTATAGCAATGTAAGACCTATTAGTTACCATGTTCGATGAACCTAGTATGCACTATCTTTACAAGAGTTACATCTGGGCTGGAGCTGCCCAATCCTCATTTTCAAGCCCTGATAGAGTTCAAAAGTGTTTATATGGCTTCGTACATGAATTATTTTCCATCCTGCAACCCCTTTGCTACGGATGAAACACTGCTAGCTATTTGCTGCCCTGTTGTTATTTTCATGGCAAATGTTGAATCAAACTACATTTCTTGGTTCAACCAGTCCAGAACTTCCATGCTGGCACACACCAGGCCATATACTCTGAGTCATGTCATCCTCATTCCCTTCCTGTTTGATTGGTGAGGAGGACGTTCCACTTGGACAGCTCCTTCACCAGAACTGTTACATTGTGGAACAGACTCCTGAAATGATGCTTATCTAATCACTTCAATCTTAACGTTTTCAATTCTAGGATCAACCATTATCTATTCTACATGTCCTCATAATATGCACCACTTGTACTCCTTTGCAACCACTACATTTAATAAACATCTATCTTGAGTGGTTCTTGGGCCTTGTATTGACTGAACAATAGTATATATAAACAGAAAGCCTAGGGAAGGACTGTCCTATGATGAACTGACATAATGGTTAGTATATATAAAAAATTTAAAATCCTTCCAGTGTATGACAAATTTTTTGAAATACAAACATATCTCTTCATGATGTTGGCAATCATGGCTCTCCACAACTTCTTGTCCTTTGTAGCTCTTAATAAATTTTATCTTTTGTTTATCTCTCCTAAACCCTGCTCCATTATCAATTTCCTCAAGGTCGCCAGGTAGGTTATGACTTGTTTTCCCTCTATCATGCATGCCTTCAGTCTGTCCTGTGAGTATGAAATTTTCCAAGCCTTTTTTACTCATTATTTGCCCAGGAAATTTCAACTATCATTTTCCAATGGTATGTATAAGTGTCTTTTTTACAGTATTTACATTAGTCGGACTATTGTCCTCATCTTTGTCGCCATATTTGTCACGACGTTTTGGCCGTTGTACACTCTGGCCTTCTTCAGGTGGTTGGAATTTCGAACTGAACCCTTTATTTCGATCACTGGGGTAGACTGTTCTAGTTCCACATGCCATGTTTGATGGATATCAGTTATCAGTTATCTCCTGTTAATTTTCTCTCTGAAAGTTCTCCACTGCCTTAACCAGGTATTGAACTCACCCTCTTTGGGTCTGTCACTGGATCCAACCATATTGGAAATATGGGAACTAGTAATAAGGAGTAATTCCAACCACCTGAAGAAGGCCGGAGCGTACAACGGCCGAAACGTTGTGACAAATATGGCGACAAAGATGAGAACAATAGTCCGACTAATGTAAATACTGTACATAATACCTCATCTCAGAAATATAGACAGACTCTGAAGTGTCTTTTTTGTTTCCATTTTCTCTAAAATTTTTTTTTTGATCACAGGTTTGATCCATATTTTTCTCAGCATTCTTCTATAGAACCCCATTTTTGTTGCTTCAAGACTCTACATAATCTGTAAGGAGATTATCCAGCATTTATTGCCATATAAGGGGACTGATAACAGTTCAGTACTCATATCTTTGTTTCTAACAAAATGTTTCTTAATACTTGGCTTAGCTTTTAGAAGGCATCTTTCACTATCCCAGTGCACCTACAGATTTCAGTGTTGCACATTCTGTCCTCTGTTAAAACACTTTCATGATATTTAAATTGTTATACTGGCTTGATTTGCATGTTGGGCTGTTCCTTTTGTTAACAGCTATGCATTCTATCTTCTTACAATGGATATTATTTAGTTATTTCTTCTTGATTTTCTTCACTTTCTTCTGTAGAAGTTCTTGCAGTTTTCTTTATATGTCTGCTATCAACACTGTCATCTGCATATCTTATTGTTGTATCCTTAAAAAGGTTACAAGCAGACAAAGATGGTACTTGAGTGAAGGGACAGCGACACGTGCCTAGATGAAGGAAGAGAGGTTTATTGTAAAAGAGAATACCCTATTGAAAAACAGAGAATCGGGTGGCAGGCTAGTAATCCTGAAGTAAGCCCCCAGATATATTCTGTGCTCACTCTATATATTTACTGATATAATCAGTCCACAGTAAGCAATAGGGAGAGAGGAATATTCCATTACAACACCTCTGCTGAGCTAATTTTCCCATGAAATTTTGCTCATTACCTCTTCTTTTTGGGATCAGGACATAACTGTTTCACTTTTTCCTCTTCCTAGTACTTTTCTGTCTCACCAGCATAAAAATTATGTTGTTCAAAGTGTGGCTGCCAATAATGAATCTTAATAGGACTTCTAATTCATTCAGAATTCTTTAACTGTATAGGTTGAATAAGTCTGGTGAGATGATACATCATTGCCTTACACCCACTTCTTACCATAACAAAACTTAGAAAATATTTCAAATGGAGACAAGGAATTATTTGTCTGAACAACCTAAGTAACACCAGCCTTATTAACAAAAAGAAATAACCAATCAAATTAAATTTGGTAACTTGGTTTGGTAATTAGAATTATATCAATGTGATAATTGTATTTAATTTCTTTTAGTAGATATTCTGATCATGGTTTTAATTAATTAAAAGACAAATATCATTTGAAATTGTGATGAGCAAAAGCTAAAACCTATTTAATAGATAAGAAAATTTGTCAATTAGAAAGGAAAGAGCATAAAAATATGGATCATTTGAGATGTGTAGACACATTTTGAGGTTGTAGTGATTGGTAGATAAAGCTATTGATAAAAGATTTTTTCAGGTTGTTAATTTCCTTTCTTATACCTTTTTGCAGTTCCTAGAAAACATTTTGCAGCTTTCCATGTGTTGAATCCTTAGGGGAAAAGAAAAATGTTTATTTGTTTGTCTGTTCAGAAAAAAAATGGTGACAAAATTATCAACTCATTTCACATCTGTGGATTTCTTTGCTTGAAAGAGCAACCGAGGATTTGGAGTTGTTTTTGTTACACAAATTGCATTGAATGAAATCGCAGTCTTACAGATGTTCTGCAATTTAAACATGACTCTTTTTTTTTTGTTAAGGATCTTTTTAAAACACAGAATAGATGTTTTCAGTTTTACATCAGCCTGTATTGAGATTTTGTCAATTTAGTTAAGTATAGTTTAAAGTCAGATAAAGATAGGATGACTGTGATACTATTCTAAACAAAAAAAAAAAAAAGTCAGAAGGGAAAATCATTGATATTGGCTGAGCTTGAATACCTATCGAAAGTAGTGTAGAAAGACATGCAACTATTCCCATGACTATAGCTAGTACAAAGCCAAATCATGCAATTGTTATTTACTAAACATAGTTTCTTTCATTCTTCCTAGTACTTGGATCTCTCAATCTAGATTTTCTTTCTTTGTTTTTTCTTTCCTTTCTTTTTTCTTTCCTTTCTTTTTTCTTTCCTTTCTTTTTTCTTTCCTTTCTTTTTTTTTTTTTTCTTTTTTCTTTTTTTCTTTTTCTTTTTTCTTTTTTCTTTTTTTTTTTTCTTTCCTTTCTTTTTTCTTTCTTTCTTTTTTCTTTCTTTTCTTTTTTCTTTCTTTTCTTTCTTTGTTTTTTCTTTCTCTTTCTTTTTTTCTTTCTCTTTCTTTTTTTCTTTCTCTTTCTTTTTTTCTTTCTCTTTCTTTTTTTCTTTCTCTTTCTTTTTTTCTTTCTCTTTCTTTTTTTCTTTCTCTTTCTTTTTTTCTTTCTCTTTGTTCATTCATTCTTTCTTTTATCCAATCTGTCATTTTCTTTTAATTTAAAGGAGATTCTTCTTTTAGGTCATGTGGCAATTATTTACTAAGTTTAATAATGCTTTCTTTCCATTTTCCTTGTGTCTTTCCAGATATCCTTTCTTTGTTTTATTCACCCAGTCTGTATGCTTCTTTCTTCCCTCTATTTATTGTCTTCTTTCTTTCCTTCTATTTGTCTTCTTTCCTTCCTTTTATTTGTCTTCTTTCTTACTTCTAGTTATTGTCTTTCTTTTCTTCATTTATTTCTCTTTTCTTTCTTTTCTTCATTTATTTCTCTTTTCTTTCTTTTCTTCATTTATTTCTCTTTTCTTTCTTTTCTTCATTTATTTCTCTTTTCTTTCTTTTCTTCATTTATTTCTCTTTTCTTTCTTTTCTTCATTTATTTCTCTTTTCTTTCTTTTCTTCATTTATTTCTCTTTTCTTTCTTTTCCCTTCTGTTTGTTGTCTTCTTTTTCTTTCTTCTTTCTATTTGTTTTCTTTCTTTCATTCTTTCTTCCTTTCTACGTATTGTCATTTTCTTTATTTGTGTCTTTTATTTATTGTCTTCTTTCTTTCTTTTTTCCTTCTATTGTTTTCTTTCTTTCTTCTATTATTATTATATAGCATCCCTTACTTCAATTCCCAGTTATGGATTAAATAGCAGGGTAGACTAAATTCTATAGCCTCAATTGGCAACTAGCACAGGAGAAAAAAAATTGTTAATTCAAAAATGTAAATGGACAATGAGAAATCATTGCACTATATTTCCTAATAATGGCAATCTACTGCTTACAGATATTAAAGAAAAGACAGTTGTGGAGAGCCATGATCATCTATGTCCTGATGAGAATATAGCACTCAAAGAAAAAACCTCCCACTTCTCCTGAATTTTCTGTTTCACTTAATTTTTTATTTATTTGTGATTCATATATGCATGTACAATTTTACATATTCATATGCGTAGTTGTGCACATGCTCCTGAGAATGAAATATATATATATATATATATATATATACACACACTTATATGTTCTCTGTATATGTCACAAATGCAAACTCACTCTCTATCTCATTCAGATATCCATGCAATTGCTTCCATCTACTCTCTCTCTCTCTCACACACATACACACACACACATTTTCTCTCAGATTTTTAAGTCTACTTTTGCATAACACATAGATGTTGAGAATTTATATTTCTCTCTATCACTCATAGGCCTTTACTTTCTCTCTTCCATTCACACATGCACACTCACACACACACACACACACAGACATTCTCTCTCTCTCTTTCATGCATCCATACAATCACTCTCTCCTACTCTCTCATGCACATCTCTCACATATATTCATATACCTATTTTTTTCAAATTTTGTACAATTTTTTCCTCTTTCTCTGTTTCATTCGCAGGCATTAAGTCTCCCTCATAAATCATTCGCACACACATTCTTTTTCGTCACTTTAGCATACATGCATAAAGACAGGGCTTATGCACACATGACAGTTTTTTCATACAAGATGAAAAATAATTTTGACTGTTTCACTGATGTACAATTGAATATTCAAAGAAATCCTAAGGAAAAAAAAAAAAAGGCAAATCATCAGAAGATTTCCTTACTTCCGTGGTTTTCTTCTGAAAATATTTTTTCTTGGAGGATTAATTTTCATTGCAAAGGTTTCCTTGTTGAATTTTTGTTTCTTGGCTGTATCTCTTAATCCTTTGTTTCACATGTGACCACCACCATCACTACAAGTAAAGCTCCAGAGCAAGAAGGTACAAGGGATATGAGGCATGGAAGACAATAAAGAAAGAAGCAGACAGAGAGGAAAAATTAATGAAAGAAAGAAGGAAGCAAACAGATTTGATAGATAGAAGAAAGAAAAAAGAAACAGATAAGATAAATTAAGAAAAGGAGGAAGGAAGCAAACAGATTTGATAGATAGAAGAAAAAAAAGAAAGAAAGAATCAGATAAGATAAACTGAAGAAATAAAGAAGGAAGCAAACAATTTCATAAAAAGAAAAAAAGAAACAAACAAATAAGATAAATTGAAGGAATAAAGACAGAAGGAAAGAAAGAAGGAAACATAGATTTGATAAATAGAAGAAAGAAAAAGTATGAAACAGATGAGATAAACTGAAAAAAGAAAGAAAGAAAACAGATAGATTTTATAAATAGAAGAAAAACAGAAAGAATAAATAAACAGACAGATAAAGAAAGAACCAGGTAAGATAAATTGAAGGAAGAAAGAAAGAACAAAGTAGACAGATTTGATAAATAGAAAAAAGAGAAGGTCACATATTTGATAAACTGAAGAAAGAAAGAAACAAAGAGGTGACATATTTGATAAACTAGAGAGAGAAAGAAAGAGAAGGTGACATATTTGATAAACTAGAGAGAAAGAGAAGGTGACATATTTGATAAACTAGAGAAAGAAAGAGAAGGTGACATATTTGATAAACTAGAGAAAGAAAGAAGGTGACATACTTGATAAACTAGAGCAAGAAAGAGAAGGTGACATTTAATAAAATGAAGAAAGAGAGAAAGAAAGAGAAGGTGACATTTATAAAATGAAGAAAGAGAGAAAGAAAGAGAAGGTGACATTTGATAAAATGAAGAAAGAGAGAAAGAAAGAGAAGGTGACATATTTGATAAAATGAAGAAAGAGAGGAAGAAAGAGAAGGTGACATATTTGATAAACTAAAGAAAGAGGTGACATATTTGATAAACTAGAGAGAGAAAGAAAGAGGTGACATATTTGATAAACTAGAAAGAAAGAGAAGGTGACATATATGATAAAGAAAGAAGGTGACATATTTGATAAATGAAGAGAGAAAGAAAGAGAAGGTGACATATTTGATAAAATGAAGAAAGAAAGAGAAGGTGACATATTTGATAAAATGAAGAAAGAGAAAGAAAGAGAAGGTGACATTTGATAAAGAAAGAAAGAAGGTGACATACTTGATAAACTAGAGCAAGAAAGAGAAGGTGACATATTTGATAAAATGAAGAAAGAGAGGAAGAAAGAGAAAGAAAGAGGAGGAGACATATTTGATAAAAGAAAAAAGAGAAAAAGAGAAGGTGACATATTTGATAAACTAAAGAGAGAAAGAGAAGGTGACATATTTGATAAACTAGAGAAATAAAGAGGTGCCATATTTGATAAACTAGAGAGAAAGAAAGAGAAGGTGACATACTTGATAAACTAGAGCGAGAAAGAAGGTGACATATTTGATAAAATGAAGAAAGAGAAGGAGACATATTTGATAAAATGAAGAAAGAAAGAGAGAAATTTGATAAAATGAAGATATTTGATAAAATGAATAAATAAAATGAAGAAAGAGAATGACATATTTGATAAAATGAAGAAAAGAGAGAAAAAAGAGAATGACATATTTGATAAAATGAAAAAAAAGAGAGAAAAAAAGAAGGAGACATATTTGATAAAATGAAGAAAGAGAAAGAAAAAGAAGGTGACATATTTTTAAAATGAAAAATGAAGAAAGAGAAGGAGACATATTTGATAAAATGAAGAGAAAAGAAAGAGAAGGAGACATATTTGATAAAATGAAGAAAGAGAGAAAGAAAGAAGGAGACATATTTGATAAAATGAAGAAAGAGAGAAAGAAAGAGAAGGAGACATATTTGATAAAATGAAGAAAGAGAGAAAGAAAGAGAAGGTGACATATTTGATAAAATGAAGAAAAGAGAGAAAGAAAGAGAAGGAGACATATTTGATAAAATGAAGAAAAGAGAAAGAAAGAGAAGGAGACATATTTGATAAAATGAAGAAAGAGAAGAAATAAAATGAAGAAGAGAGAAACATATTTGAGGTAAAATTTGATAAAGGGAAGAAAGAGAAGGTGACATATTTGATAAAATGAAGAAAAAGAGAAAGAAAGAAATAGAAGGTGACATATTTGATAAAATGAAGAAAAAAGTGACATATTTGATAAAAAATGAAAGAAAAGAAAGAAAGGTGACATATTTGATAAAATGAAGAAAGAGAAAGAAAGAGAGAAGGTGACATATTTGATAAAATGAAGAGAGAAAGAAAAGAGAAGGTGACATATTTGATAAAATGAAGAAAGAGAAAAAAAAGAGAAGGTGACATATTTGATAAAATGAAGAAAGAGAAAGAAAGAAGGTGACATATTTGATAAAATGAAAAGAAAGAGAAGGTGACATATTTGATAAAATGAAAGAAAAAGAAGGTGACATATTTGATAAAATGAAGAAAAAAGAAGGTGACATATTTGATAAAATGAAGAAAGAGAAGGTGACATATTTGATAAAATGAAGAAAGAAAGAAAGAGAAGGAGACATATTTGATAAAATGAAAGAGAAAGAAAGAAGGTGACATATTTGATAAAATGAAGAGAAAGAAAGAGAAGGTGACATATTTGATAAAATGAAGAAATATTTGATAAAATGAAAAAAGAAGGAGACATATTTGATAAAATGAAAAAGAGAGAAAGAAAGAAGGAGACATATTTGATAAAATGAAGAAAGAAAGAGAAGGTGACATATTTGATAAAATAAAAGAAAGAGAAGGTGACATATTTGATAAAATAGAGAAAAAAAAGAGAATGACATATTTGATAAAATGAAGAAAAAAGAAAGAAAAGGTGACATATTTGATAAAATGAAGAAAGAGAAAGAAAGAAGGAGACATATTTGATAAAATGAAGAAAAGAAAGAAAGAGAAGGTGACATATTTGATAAAATGAAGAAAGAGAAGGAGACATTTGATAAAATGAAGAAAGAGAGAAAGAAAGAAGAAGACATATTTGATAAAATGAAGAAAGAGAGAAAGAAAGAGAAGGAAACATATTTGATAAAATGAAGAAAGAGAGAAAGAAAGAGGAGACATATTTGATAAAATGAAGAAAGAGAAAGAAAGAGAAGGTGACATATTTGATAAACTAAAGAGAAAGAGAAGGTGACATATTTGATAAAAAAGAAAGAGAAATAAAGAGAAGTGACATATTTGATAAAATGAAGAGAGAAAAGAAAGAGAAGGTGACATATTTGATAAAATGAAGAAAGAGAAGGTGACATATTTGATAAAATGAAGAAAGAGAGAAAGAAAGAAAGAGAAGGTGACATTTGATAAAATGAAGAAAGAGAAGGTGACATATTTGATAAAATGAAGAAAGAGAGAAAGAAAGAAAGAGAAGGTGACATATTTGATAAAATGAAGAAAGAAGGTGAATATTTGATAAAATGAAGAAAGGAAAGAAAAGATATTTGATAAAATGAAGAAAAAATGAAGAAAAGAAAAAAGAGAAAGATGACATATTTGATAAAATGAAAAGAAAGAAAAAAGAGAAGGTGACATATTTGATAAAATGAAGAAAGAGAAAGAAAGAGAAGGTGACATATTTGATAAAATGAAGAAAGAGAAAGAAAGAAGGTGACATATTTGATAAAATGAAGAAAGAAAGAAAGAGAAGGAGACATATTTGATAAAATGAAAGAGAAAGAAGGTGACATATTTGATAAAATGAATAGAGAAAGAAAGAAGGTGACATATTTGATAAAATGAAGAAAGAGAAGGTGACATATTTGATAAAATGAAGAAAGAGAAAGAAAGAGAAGGAGACATATTTGATAAAATGAA